AGAACATAAAAATCATAATATAAAAAAATTGCAGATTGAAAAATTGAAAAATTTGGAAGTTGAGAAATTGAAAAATTGAAATAATTAAAGTTGAAAAAAAAAAGAAAAATTGTGAAACCGAAACATTAAAAATCGAAAAATTGAAAAAAGAACATGAAAAAACAAAAAATTGTGACATAAAATGTAAATCGGAAAAGTGAATAATTAACAATCGAGAAAATGAAAAATGAAAAATTAAGAACTTGAAAAACTGAATTAATAAAAAATTGAAAAATGAAACAATAGTAATATTGAGCAATTGAAAAATAAAAATCAAGAATTTTTAATAGTGGTGAATATTTTGACCAAAAACGTGTCAATATCATTAGGCCTTGCAGCTATTTGACGGTTTATTTGACAGTTATTTGACCACAACAATATAACATTTTCAGATTTTCAGGAAATCATTTTTAATTAGGTGATTCCTCTAACAATTTAAACTACAAAAGCTGTGATGATAATTCAGTTGTTGTAAGAGATACTAGAACATAGTGTGAAGCCTGAATTGGTAAAAATTTGTTCGATCGACCGAAAATTCATATCAAATTGTAGATAACATTCCGCCAGTTGCAATCTAAAATCGCCGTCAGGATGTCTGTTCCAATAGACGCGAAAAGTGAATTTAAAATTTTCTAAAATTTTCCAAAAAAATGGTTACATTGTTTCAATCCAGCGAAAATTGGTAGCAAATTTTAGATAATCCTCAGCCGGTTACAAATCCAAAATCATCTTCACGATATCTATTGAAATAAAGGTCAAATATGATTTCAAAATTTTCAAAATTTTTCCAAAAAAATGGTTAAAATTGATTCCATCCACTGAAAGCTGATGTCAAATTGTAGATAACCTCCCGCTAGTTACAAATCTGAGGTCGACGTCAGGATATCTGTTCCAATAAACACGAAAAGTGTATTAAAAATTTTCGAAAATTTTCCAAAAAAATGGTTAAAATTGGTTCAACCGTCCGAAAATTGGTGTCAAATTTTAAATAATCTTCCGCCCCTTACAAATCTGAAATCGCCGTCAGGATATACTGTTTCAATAAATACTAAAAATTAATTCAAAATTTAAAAAAAAATCAAAAAAATGGTTACATTTTGTTCAACCGACCGAAAATTGGTGTTACATTGTTGATAATCTTCCGCCAAATACAAATCCGAAATCGTCGTTACGAAAACTGTTTCAATAAATACAAAAGTGAATTCAAATTTTCCAAAAAAGTGCCTTAAATGGGTTCAATCGACGGAGACTTGGTGTCAAGTTGTAGATAATCATCCGCCAGTTACAAACCTAAGATCGCCGTCAGGATATCTGTTCCAATGAACACGAAAAGTGAAATCAAAATTTCCAAAAATTTTCCAAAAAATGTTAACGTTTAGCGAAGAAACTGAAACCGGATTCGTATACTACGAGTATGGGAGTATATTGCTGTATAACAACACAAAAATAATTTTATAATACGGTTCATTGAAATGATGTGATTAACCATCATGATATTTCTAACATACATAAAAAAAATTGGCAACCTGAAACGTCGAGAAAACACAAAAGTGGCCATTCGTCCGAAGGACTCGATTACAATACTTCCTTCGCTTACGCTTCGGAAGTGAAAAGCAATACACTTTTGTAAAATTATTAATCGATTCTGCACTCAAAAATGTATAATTCTAAGATTTGCTTTACAGGAGTTTTGTTCAAACGACCGAAAATCGGTATCAAATTCTAGATAATCTTCCGCCAGTTACAAATCTAAAATTACCTTCACGACATCTGTTGAAATAAAGGTAATATGTGGTTCTAAATTTTTCAAAAATACTCCAAAAAAGTTGTTAAAATTGGTTCAATCGACTGAAAATTGATGTCAAATTGTAGATAACCTTCCACCGGTTAGAAATCTGAAGCCGCCGTCACGATATCTGTTCCAATAAATACGAAACTTGAATTCAAAATTTTCACAAATTTTCCAAAAAATTGGTTAACATTGGTTGATTAGACCGAAAGTTGGTGTCAAATTTTAGATAATAATCTTCCGCTAGTTACAAATCTGAAATCGGCGTCAAGATATCTGTTCCAATAAACACGAAAAGTGAATTCAGAATTTCCAAAATTTTCTAAAAAAGTCTGAAATGGGTTCAAACGACCGAAAGTTGGTGTCAAATTGTAGATAATCTTCCGTCAGTTACAAATCTAGAATCGCCGTCACGACCTCTGTTCCAATAAGCACGAAAAGTGAATTCAAAATTTTCAAAAACTTTCCAAAAAAATGGTTAAAATTGCTTCCATCGACCGAAAATTGGTGTCAAATTTTAAATAATCTTTCATCAGTTACAAATCTAAAATCGCTGTCAAGATATCAGTTTCAACAAACACGAAAAGTAAATTGAAAATTTTTGGAAAATTTTTCAAAAAAATGGTTAAAATCGGTTCTATGCACTGAAAATTGGTGTGGATACTCTTCCGCCAATTACAAATTCAAAATCACCTCAACGACATCTATTCAAATAAATATAAAATATGGTTCCAAAACTTAAAATTTTCAAAAAAATTATTAAAATTGGCTCAATCCATCGAAAATTGATAATTTTGCCCCAGTTACAAATCCGAAATCACCTTCACGACATCTGTTGCAATAAAGGTAAAATATGATTCCAAAACATTAAAAAAAATTCCAGAAAAATGCTTAAAATTATATCAAGCGACTGAGAATTGGTGTCAAATTGTATATAACCTTCTACCAGTTACAAATCTGAAGCCATCGTCATGATATCTGTTCCAATAAACACGAAAAGTGAATTCAAAATTTTCAAATATTTTGCAAAAAAATCGTTACAATTTGTTCAACCGACCGAAAATTGGTGTCAAATTGTAGATAATCTTCCGCCAGTTACAAATCTAGAATTGCCGTCACGATATCTGTTCCAATAAACACCAAAAGTGAATTCAAAATTTTCAAAAAAATGGTTAAAATTGGTTCTGTCGACATAAAGTTGGTGTGAAATTATAGATAAATCTTCCGCCACTAATAAACCTGAAATCGCCGTCAGGATATACTGTTTCAATAAATACTAAAATTGAATTCAAAATTTTCAAAAATGTTCCAAAAAAATGGTTACAATTTGTTCAACCGACCGAAAATTGGTGTTAAATTGTTGATAATCTTCTGCCAAGTACAAATCCGGAATTGTCGTCATGAAAATAAATACGAAAAATGAATTCAAAATTTCCAAAAAATTTCCAAAAAAAATGGCTAAAATGGGTTCAATCAATTCAATGGGAGAATTAGTGTCAAATTGCAGAATCATCCGCCAGTTACAAACCTAAGATCGCCGTCAGGATATATGCTCCAATGAACACGAAAAGTGAAATCAAAATTTCCAAAAATTTTCCAAAAAAATTTGAAAGTTTAGCGAAGAAACTTAAAGTATATTGCTGTATAACATTCAAAAATAATTTTGTAATACGGTCCATTGAAGTGACGTGATTAAATTGTTGGTGGGGTCAAATTTTGGTTAGCATTTAACTATCTACATGATATTTCTAACATACATAAAAAAATTGAGTTTCGGAGATTACATGTTTAACAGAAATGGATACATACACCAAACAGACAGACAGACGGACGGACGGAAAACGGAGACTACTTTTTTCGTGTTGTAGGTGTCATGAAACGTCGAGAAAACATAAACGTGGCCATTCGTCCGATGGACTCGATTACAATACTTCCTTGGCTTACGCTTGGGAAGTAAAAATCAATACACTTTTGTAAAATTATTAATTGATTCTGCACTCAAAAATATATAATTCTAAGATTTGCTTTACGGAAGTTCAATTAAATATTTGATTGCGGTTAAATTTTTAATGCTGCATTAAAGTACCACGTGACCGAATCACGCCAATCAGACGTCGCTAAACGCCTCGTTAAATACGAGATTAACTTAATCTCACTAAAAATATTATATAAACTGGTCCTAAAAGTTTAAGAATAAATTTTTATTTAAATGAGGTACAAGAACAGGAACAATATTTGGACGTTCGAAAATATCAAATACTTCAACATATCCAGTAGTACAGATATTTCTACAAAACGTTTGATCTAAAATTTATTAAAAATCTACAAGTCATAAACAAAAAACATAAACATAAACAAAATTAGATATAATAAATGTAAAATTCGGAAATAATATTTAATTTTGCAATTAAAAACATTTCAGTCTTTTCTAAAGACCTAAGAATCTAAAAATGGTAAAACGATTTCGTGAATTCCGAAATATTCATTCATTGTCAAAATTTCATTCGTTAGATGTTATAATAAGAATACTCAGAATCCTGACAGCTTAAAAAACTATATTATTCAGATTTCAGATATTCAAAACTGTTTGGAAAAATTAATGTAATTACCTAAGTTGTTAGTTATACTCAGTTTTTTTTTTGTTAGTGAAACGATCCACTTTAAAGGCCTTTATTTTTTAACATCTCTGAATTTTCCGTGTTTAGAGTGTTTGAAAATTACAGAACTTTCGTCATTTAAAAAATCATTACACCTTTGTAAAATTATTGTGGTAATTGTAATTTTAAGTCTGCAATAAAGTTGGTCAAATTTTTAGGTATATACGACTGAAAAGCAGAAAAATATTTGAAATTTTACAAATATTCAACAATGTTGTTCGAACACACAGCCTGATAAAATAATTCTAAGTGGTTACTGATCTTTAATTTTTTTGTTGGTCTAAAATATCTATTATTTTCTGTTAACATTTAATACTTCCTTTCTAAAAAACGAAAAAAATATGCTTAAGTGCTAAGTAACCTCTGCTTTTGAGAGGAAAAAAATAATAATTAATGCGCACAACTTGCTTTTACCAGCAGCCTGGTGACTATGATAAGAGTGTTCCCCTAGCAAGACATCATAAAATCTTAGTAGACACAAAATACCGTTCCAAATACACCAGCATTCAAATTACCATGAAAAAAAGCTCGTTCACTGGAGGTATGATCGGCCCGGCTGCGAACTCGAACTCTGGTGGCTCTGGCGGGGTCCTCTCTGGATCGGGAATGCTCTCTTGGGAATCACCTCTTTCGCGACGTTCTCTTGTGGCCAAAGCCACCGCCGAGTCGGCTCCTTGGTGGGCTGTGGTTCCACCAGTGTAGCTCGACGAGAGTTGTGTCATTGGCAGGTTGTACTGACTACCGACGTTAAACTGTGTGTATTGGTAATGTTGTAGGTATGGTCGGGCGACTGTCTGCGGTGCGGCGTATGGGATCAAAGGAGTCCTGTAGCTGATTGGAGGGTAATAAGTGGTAGGATACAGACTTTGACAAGCGCACACGTGGTGCATGTGTAAGTGAACGTTTTGTTGGTGATTCCCGTTTACGTCGGGACGGTTTTGATCCATTATACAACTTGGTTAAAGGTCTGAAACGTCAAAAGCTGGTTGAATAATTTTTTGTTCCAGAAATATGAATGAAATGTAAGAGTCGTCGTGTCAACAGAGTGACACATACTCTTGAGCAAATGTTTAATTTAGTACATTCAGTTTTATTAAATTTTCCGAGACAGATAAGCTGAATGCAAATATAGCTTAGACGCGAGTAGCAGAAAATAAAAATCTGTTTTAAATAACTTTTCTTTCATCTTTGAGATTTTCCTAGCAGATTTACGTGGATAAATAAAATGAAAAAAAAAATCCTGCACGTATAAAGATAAGTATATTCACTTGATTCCACCTCGGATTGATTTTGTGTCAATAAGCTTACGCGAATAAAATAAAATTTGCTTTGGAGGTTGGAAACGTGCTTGTATTTTTTGTCGGGAGACCGACGCGAAAATGGGAATATAGATATAAACAAGAGATTTTTCAATAATAAATAATAATTTGCTAGAATTTTTACTTTTAATACATAAAAATCAAATTTTAACACGAATACAAACGGAATGACCCTTGTCGCAGTCTTCCTTGACTATAAATTTTTGTTTACCTATATCCAACAATATAAAAGTCTATCTGCTGCAGTTTCTTTCCGTTTATCTCTTATGTAGGAAACGGAAATACCGAAAACTCAATCAGAAACTCATTTGTCGAGAAAAGGAGACATCGAGGTTGAAAACCTTGTCCAAATTCTAGACATTTTTCACAAAAAAAAAACGAACAATGAAACGAAAAAATGTTAACCTGAATTAGTTTATATCACGTGTCCACGTTTTTACAAACATTGCAAAATTTCATCACTAAAATAAATTTGTCTCAATACCACTTCTTCCCTCTTTTTTTCAAAATGTCACTAAAAATCTTCACTAAATAAACAAAATATAAACCTTTCGAAGTAAATAAGTTGAAAAGGGATTAATTATTAAACTGTATGACTTTGTTTTTTATAATCACATCATTAAATCTATCCGCCTTTATTAAAAAGGAAGTAAACACCGAATAGCCGGAGGCCATAGCTTAAAAAATATTTTATTTTACGGGGGCCGACAAGTGTTGTCAAAATTGCCAGCAATTGAAAGCCAACATTTAAAAACACTTCTAAATACCTCTAGTTACCAACTACAAGACAATACTTACATGATATCGCACTAATTAGTTCTTAAAACAACGTTTTTATTTCACAACATTTCAAACACGGATTTGACGTACGAAAAAAAATTTGTTTGTTTTGATGGGTGGAGGTTGCCATGGCAATGCCAACATGGCGGCCAGTTCTCATCAATTTTCACGAAAAATAAACATTTAATCCCAAAAGCAAACATTAATAAGCAGCTTGAAATCGTAATTTAGAGGCTCACATTAAATCGGCACTGAAAAAGAGATTTATTAAATGAGTGTGTGCATTGATGTATGTTGGTAGCGCGTTTTCCACTAGATGACAGTTGGTACCGCGATTTTTAAAAAGTTTGTGGTTGCGGATTTGTGATTGTGTTGGGGTAGTTTCGGGGTTGATTTGGGCTGCAAAATGGAGAAGCGGTATGTGAATTAATTCAGGGTTTGTGTTATGATAAGGGTTGGCAGGATTTTGTGGGTGTGATTAATCTAACCTCAATTTGATGGGGGCGCCGGGTAAAGAGTTTCAAAATCAATGTTTTTATTGTTTTCTTAAGATTATAGTTGTGCATCTAAAAATAATATAACAGTAACGTTAGTCTATCATTATGATTAACAATCTCGTCAAATTATTTATAGATATAGTTTTGGCAGTAAATTATTTACATCTAACGTCCGTTGAAGCAACCGAATAAAACAAATCAGGTAACTAATCTACAAACCGATTCGGTTTTTCTAAAGTGGAACTAACGAATTGATTTAAAATTTGCTCAATAAGGGACGCGGTCGGATGGAGATGACAATACACCCTAAAAATTCTCATAAGTCACTCTAAATTTTAAATCATTTTGCAGTTAATGACCCTAATAACAGTTTTAAATTCTACTACAAGACATGATACTGTTGCTTGTTAACGTTGTGCTTATTCATTTAAACGGGTACCTATCTTGTAAGTATTCAACAGACACTATAAAAAAATCCACACCGAAAACTCCTCGAGCGTTAGCAAACTGATTGGTAATTACATTTATTATAAAAATTTTGTTGTTGTTTGAGACAAATGAGCAAAAAAATTAACTCCCAACAACTAACTACACCTCACAGATGAATAGCTAATAGGCCTATCAGTAACGCTAGAGAAGCATAAACCGCACTGCTGCTGTTGCAGCCGTCTTCTTCACAAGCACACACTTCCTGCCGCCCTCCAAAGCCCGACCTGTGGTAGCACTTGTTCTTGTACTGCGAGTCGTCCCAGCCGCAGGTTCTTATGACGCGACTCTCCGGTTGCACTGCAACGACACAAATGATCATGTTTCCGCTTTAACTACCAGTTACAGATTTTTCGCTAGACTTACGTCCATTTACTTCAAAATCTATGACTTGTTTGATTTTTCTGCACAGTTTGTACTTCGTGCCGCTTTCCGCCCCCAGGGGGCTGCTCTTGCTGTCGCAATCCGTCTCCAAATCTGTCTTGTATTTCTCGATGTCGTCGTCGCTACACCGTTTGTCGTTGACGCTGTTGCATTCGAAACATTTGATAGCGTTACCTAGGAAGGAAGTGAGTCAGATTTAAGTACGCTTAAGTTGGATAAGTGTTATTGTGTCATGAGGAGAATGAGGACGGAAATTTTTCGTCTAGGCTAATTTAAGTGGTTTGACACGAATTTTCGGGCTGAAAAATGCTGCTTCTGTTGGGGTAGGACTCGAGATTGAGGACAAAATAATATAGTTTTGGTCGAGATTATGTGACCAATTTGTAACAGGAAGAGGCTGCTAGGTGGAAATTGGATTATGTAACGTTTGGACAGCTGCAATGATTCGCTCACATCATATAATCTCTGCGAGAAAATATAATCTGATAAAATTTCTGCGTTTTGTTTTACTGTGTTTTTTTAATAACCAGTTATTAATAATTTTTTGAGATGACGTCATCATTTTTGCGGAAGGATTGAATAATGTCTTACCAAAACTTAAAGAAATAGTTTTGTAAGTTCTAGAACAAAATTTTAGTGCATAAGTTTAATTTTTTGTAAGCCTTAGGAAAATTTATCTTTATTAATAAACTTAATCAAGTGAAACAAAGTTGAATATTAAATCGAAAAATCAAACGAACCACTTGTTTCGTTTGATAGTTATTTTTTCCAAGAGTTCTAATTTCCCAGACCTTACCTGTCTTGAAGAATTATTGATTCCAAGCAGGTTCAAGAAATGTATGTATTTAACGGACTTTTGTATGAAACAGAACATTTTTCGATTCAACGGGCAATTTTTTCAGCAGCCAAGAGAAAAAATAATGGCCTACTCAATGTCTCCCTTTATGGTCGGCCTCTTTGATACCTATATAATTTATAAAAAAAGTTAAAGAAAAATTTGAATACTGTTCCAGGATGGTTGAAGTATGTATGTGGACGACGAGTTATTATTATTATTTTAGACGAATATTTTCAAATAAACACGTTAGTATTAACTTCAGTAAGTAAATTTAAGAAATTAATTCCTTATTCATCTGGTTTCAAAAAAAAAATGGTCTACGGTATTAAATCGAACTTCCCTTGTCTCTGGAATACAGCTTAACAAATCTAGATGCTCCAAAAAATGTTAAAATTTAATTGTGTAATTTTTTTCTTATGATAACTCCTACAAGTTAAAACAAAATATGTGTGAACTGCTAAAGTACAGGTACAGGTAAAAGTAAAATACAGAATGCATAAAGTACAACATTTAGAATTTACGAAGTACGACGTCCAACTTTTCAAATTTATAAAGACGGAGTTCGGAATGTACAAAGTACTGAACTGAACATTTTTTAAGTACCACGTTTATAATGTTCAAAGTCGTGTGTCGTTTGTACAAGCACACACACTAAACGGTACATTATTAAATAGACAAGTCTATGTTCGACAAAAATCATAAAAATCAAATTGATGTTCATTTACAGAAACAAAATATCGATTTAGATAGATAGTCTAAAAAATTGGTCGAGGAACTTCCCTACAGTTTTTTGTAAAAATTACAAAGTTTGGTTTTGCAAATTTTTTTATGAATTTTTTTCATAGGTTAAAATAAGGATAACTATGTAATGTTAAAGTAAAAGTAAAGAAGCGTCCTATGTTTCAAATAAAGAGTAAAGGACACGTATGTCAATTTGGGTAGGTGCAGTGTAATACTAATAATAACAGCATTGTATTCCCAAATTTTCGGCAAAGTGAAGTGAGCTTCATTTTTTTTTTCATGAGTTACTCTGCATAAGCAGTTTTAAAAAATATGAATGGAATGATAAATCACAAGTATGAACTCATCATATTTTACACATTTTAGATAGGATTTATTTGGACAAATTTTGAGATGACGTCATTAGATTGTGATTGACGATTTACCATGTTTCCGGTAACCTTAAAACGTTTGCAAGGTTTCAGGGTATTGGGTTTTGCAATTTCAAAGTTAAATTGTAAAATGTTGTACAATTTAGATTTTTTTTTACAAAAATCTGAGTACTTAGGGTAAAAAATCAACACGGATTCATGAACTACAAGTGGAAGAGTATGTTATTTTATAAAATTTAAATAACATTTACTATTGTATGAGTTGGAGATGATGTCATATCATCGTTGGTGGGGACAACCAGAAAAATTTTGCTTAGCGTTTTACCATCTACATGCAAAATATACACACAAACGTGGTTTAGAAGACTCTGTGTCTAATAAAAATCGACACAGACGCGGACAGACGGCAGACAGACAGACGGAAACGAGAGATCTATGTTTTCGTATTCTAGGGGTCACGAAAGGTCGGGAAAACGTAAAAGTAGCCAGTTGCCCAATGGACTCGATTACAATACTTTCTTAACATATGCTCGAGAAATAAAAATTGGTCGAACATTATTTCGACAGAACTTCCCCCACCCTCGAAGTACAACCTACAAATCCTCATTCTTTGAAAAAGTTTACAATTTGATTTTTTACTTGTGATACATAAAAAATATAGATAATAGCAAATTCCGAAGGGGCGCAGTCCGGAGACAATATGAAATATATAACCAACGAGAATAATACAAAATTTGACAACAATCGGTCCAGTAGTTTCAGATGACAGACAGACGGAAACTGGATTTTTTAAACTATATAACTACTATATGGTAAAAATAGACAGATTCATAAACTACAAGTATAAATAATGTATGCTATTTTATGAAATTCAAATAACATTTGCACTGCATGAATTTGAGGTGACGTCATCACATTATGGTAGGGATGAATAGACAAATTTTGGTTAGCGTTTAACCGTCTACAAGGTATTCCTAAAATATGTACGTAGAAAATTTGGCAACAATCAGTCTAGTAGTTTCGGAAGTTATCTGTCTAATAAATATTAACACAAACATGCAGACATACGGAAGACAGACGGAAACGTCGAGGAAACATGAAATTTGCCGTTGAGGATATTTTGACCAGATTTCTACTTACCGCACTTGAACATTGTTTGTATTGAAATTTATTGAAAATTAATTAAGGCATTAGACATCTGAAAATATCTTTTGGAAACCTAGAAATATTTAAGAACAGGGATGGAGCATTCAAAATGGACGTTTTATTGTGTAATTTTTTCTGGTGCTGTGGGTGTGTGTAATGTGTTGTCTGTAAATAAATAATTAATAATAATATAACATGCATCTATATCAGAGTTGCCAACTGGGCTTACTTTTGTTGTATTTCTTTGTTATTATTTTCGGTAAAAAAAAATCGATACGTCGCTATAAAATAAATTTAAAATAGGAAAGTGGAATTTCAGGTTCCTCTGGACTGTTTGAATTGATATTGTTACCAAATTCCCCATTATTTTGACTCTCGCAATAAAAAATATAGTATAACCTCGATAATCCGAACCTACGATTATCCGAACATCCAGTAATCCGAACAGAGGCTAGTTGAAGTCGATATCTCTTTAATCCGAACAAAAACCCTGCAATCCGAACTGAACTTGAAAACATGCACTTACTTTCAAACATGACGCAAGATCTTTCTGTACGTGTTGTATTGAATTTTTTGTAATTTTTAAAAATTGTGATATTTTAATGCACTGAATTAATTATCTAATTCTGGAAAAAAGGTTGAAGTTATTAAAGAAATGAGACCGGAAGTAACTTCTGCGCTCCGAAATCTACAAGAAAAAGTATTTAGTTAAATTTCGAAAATCGGTCGAAATTTGCTAGTACTTGCCAAATAACCTACCTTCTAAGAAAATAAAAGGCAGGTGGGCCAGCCTACTCTTCTAAAAAAAGGTATTAGCCCCGCCCACCCTCCTTTTATTTTCTTAGAAGAGTGGGTCATCTCTCAGCTGCCAAAATCAGTTTTATTTTAACAAGTACTAGCCCCGCCCACCCACCCTTTATTTTTTTTAGAAGAGTGGATTATCTGCCAAAATCAGTCTTATCTTGACAAGTACTAGCACCGCCCACCCACCCTTATTTTCTTAGAAGTGTGGGTTTTCTGCCAAAATCAGAGAAAATCATACTTGCCAAGATGAGATTGATTTTGGCAGATGACCTACTCTTCTAAGAAAATAACGGGTGGGTGGGCGGGGCTAGTACCTTTAGTTAGAAGAATCATTTGCCAAAATCAGTTTTATCGTAGTGAGAGGTGTTCAAATATATTTGTGAAACTGAACCGTATAATCTATCTGAATTTCTTGTTTAATTGTAGTTTGTTTATTTTGTTATGTTATATTGTTATGTCATTTACAATGTAAATTTCATCTTTTGACGTGTCTCGTGTTCTAATGTATTTGATCATTGTAGACAAATAAAACTTACTTACTTACTTACTTACTACAGTTTTTCGATTTTTCAACTTTCGAATTTTTCAATTTCTCACTTTTTAGATTTTCAATTTTTTGATCTATCTTTCGATTTTTGATTTCTTTGGGCAACTGAAAAAACATTCGATTTTTTAATTTGACAATTTTGGCAGTTTTCCGATATTTCAATTATGTATTTGATTTTTAAAAATATCGAGAAAATATATGTTTATTTTTTTTTATTTTCGATTTTTGATTTTTTGTCACCGAATTTTTGGAAGGGAGTAAAACGTAATTTTGATCAGCGATTTGCCATGTTTACCGTAACTTTGAATCATCTGAAAATTTTTGAATTTTTCGATCTTTCAGTTTTTGGATATCCCGATTATACAGTTGTACAATTTTCCGATTTCTCACTTATCTCATTTTTCAATTTGTTATTTTTTGTTTTAATTTTTTTTTATTTTTAGCAAGTGCTAACCCCACCCACCCAGCCTTTATTCTCTTAGAAGAATAAGTCATCTGCCAAAATCAGTCTTATCTTGGCAAGTACTAGCCCCCCGCCCACCCTCCCTTATTTTCTTAGAGAATATGTCATTTGCCAAAATCAGTTTCATCTTGACAAGTACTAGCCCCGCCCACCCACCCTTATTTTTTAGAGGATATGTCATTTGTAAAAATCAGTCTCAAACTTGCCAAGATAAGATTGATTTTAGCAGATGACCTACTCTTCTAAGAAAATAAAGGGTGGGTGGGCGGGACTAGTACCTTTTCTTAGAAAGTTAGGTCGTTTGTCAAAATAAGTCTTATTTTTTTGACAAATACTAGCCTAGCCCACCCGCCTTTGATTTTCGTAGAGGGTAGGTTATTTGGCAACTACTACCATAGTGTAAAATTTCAAAAACATTCTATTTTTTAATTTTACAATTTTGGCATTTTGCGATTTCTCAATTATGTATTTGATTTTTTTAAATATCGAGAAAAAAATTTTTAAAATATTCAATTTTTGATTTTTTGTCACCGAATTTTTGGAAGGGAGTAAAACGTAATTTTGATCAGCGATTTGCCATGTTCACCGTAACTTTAAAACATCTGAAAATTTTGTTTCTAATTTTCAATTTTTGGATTTTTCGATTTTTCAAAATTTCGGTTCGAATAGATTTGTTCTTTTAGTTAAAAAATCGAAAAATGCCAAATCGTGAAAAGTAAAAATGTTAACTTGATAACTTGAAAAATTAAAAATCAAAAAATTCCAAAATTGTAAAGTTAAAACTTGAAAAATCAAAAGAATGTAATTAAAAAGTGCAAAATTATCAAACAAATTATCAAATGAAATTTTCCAAAGTTGAAAAATCAAAGTACTAAAAAAAATGAAAACTGGAATTTCAAATTCGATTTCATAAGATGTTTTTTTTTCAATTTTTCGATATTTCAGTTTTTGATTTCCGATTAAACAGTTGTACAATTTTTCGATTTCTCATTTATCCAATTTTTCAATTTGTCATTTTTTTTTTATTTTTAAGTTTTTTTATTTTTAGCAAGTACTAGCCCCCTCATCCAGCCTTTATTTTCTTAGAAGAATAAGTCATCTGCCAAAATCAGTCTTATCTTGGCAAGTACTAGCCCCGTGCCCACTTTCCCTTATTTTCTTAGAGGATGTCATTTGCCAAAATCTGTTTCATCTTGACAAGTACTAGCCCCACCCACCCACCCTTTATTTTCTTAGAAGAGTGGGTCATCTGCCAAAATCAGTCTTATCTTGACAAGAACTAGCCCCGCCCACCCACCCTTATTTTCTTAGAGGATATGTCATTTGCAAAAATCAGTCTCATACTTGCCAAGATAAGATTGATTTTGGCAGATGACCTACTCTTCTAAGAAAATAAAGGGTGGGTGGGCGGGGCTAGTACCTTTTCTTAGAAAAGTAGGTCATTTGTCAAAATAAGTCTTATTTTTTTGGCAAATACTAGCTTGGCCCACCCGCCTCTTATTTTCTTAGAGGGTAGGTTATTTGGCAAGTACTACCATAGTGTAAAATTTCAAAAACATTCGATTTTTTAATTTTACAATTTTGGCATTTTCCGATTTCTCAATTATGTATTTAATTTTTAAAAATATCGAGAAAATAGATGTTTATTTTTTCAATTTTGGATTTTTGATTTTTTGTCATCGAGTTTTTGGAAGGGAGTAAAACGCAATTTTGATCAGCGATTTGCTATGCTTACCGCAACTTTAAAACATCTGAAAATTTTGTTTCTAATTTTCAATTTTTGGATTTTTCGATTTTTCAAAATTTCGGTTTGGATAAATTTGTTCTTTTAGTTAAAAAATCGAAAAATGCCAAATTGAGAACTTGAAAAATTAAAAATCAAAACATTCCAAAATTGTAAAGTTAAAAATTGAAAAATCAAAAGATTGGAATTAAAAACTGCAAAATTATCAAACAAATTATCAAATGAAATATTCAAAAGTTGAAAAATCTAAAAACTAAAGAAAATGAAAACTGGAATTTCGAATTCGATTTTATGAGATGTTTTTTTTTCAATTTTTCGATGTTTCAGTTTTTGATTTTCCGATTGTTGTACCATTTTCTAATTTATCCGATTTTTCAATTTGTCATTTTTTGATTTTAATTGTTTTTTATTTTTAGCAAGTGCTAACTCCACCCACCCAGCCTTTATTTGTCATCTGCCAAAATCATCTTATCTTGGCAAGTACTGGCCCCCCACCCACCCTCCCTTATTTTCTTAGAGCATATGTCATTTGCCAAAATCAGTCTCATCTTAACAAGTACTAGCCCCGCCCATCCACCCTTTATTTTCTTAGAAGTGTGGGTTTTCTGTCAAAATCAGTCTTATCTTGAAAAGTGCTAGCTCTACTCTTCCAAGAAAATAAAGGGTCGGTGGGCGGGGCCAGTACTTTTTGTTAGAAGAGTAGATCATTTGTCAAAATGAGTCTTCTTTTGGCAAATACTAGCCTGGCCCACCCACCTTTTATTTTCTTAGAGGGTAGGTTATTTGGCAAGTATTAGCAAATTTCCACCCATTCTCGACAATTTAATTTGGATTAACGAGGTTATACTGTAGAGCCACATATATATTGAAACTATGTTTTTATCTTTTCTTATGATTAAACAGTACTGATGCATTGTTTTTTTGTTTGTAACAAAAACAAAGGTATTTATTTACGCCACTAGTGAACTGAAGTTGCGAATTATCGCATTTAAATTATTTTTGAAATTATACAGTTTCTTAGAAATCCGAAATTTAAAAAAATGTTAAAATATTTAGAGTACGTTCTTCCGCACAAATGATTAAAATCTAAGTTCCAAATACAAATTACCATAGTAAACGTAATTATGGTTGATATGTTTGTAATAATTGTAATTGATAATCGTTATTGATTTGACGTTCTCATGTACTGCATTTTATAACAAAGTTTCAAATCTGTTTTAAACTAATGTTGTTATGGTAAAAAATTTAGATAGTAAAAAAAACTGATGTAAGTTCACTTTAAGGTTATCTTAATTAAAATTACAACCGCGATTAACAACATTTTACATTGTATCAGACGTTGCTATTTTTGTTCGTAACATTCTTTAAAAATGCACATACTTTACAAAAACTGATTACTCTGTAATATAATTTCACTATTATGTGACACTTGAGCAAAGCATAATCATCACTAAATAGTTATATAACAAACGAAGCTTGCAGTTATATTAGTTATATTTCTTTAATCCATATTTACCTAATGAAATCATGAGAAACCGAAATCGACAAAGGGCTTACAAATTTGATAATTTTAAAACACACCTGTTATGTGGTTTTACAAAATGTTTGTCGGTTTGGGTGTAACTATGACCTTTATGGTGAAATAGAGCTAATACGATTCTACAATATGAATGGACTTTCGAATAAAGAAACCACTGTATTACTACATAAAAACAGAGATAATGATATCGTTAGTAAATACCACAAAGAAATAAACTAAAATTATAAATAAGCAGTCTTATCAGTTACCACTAAATGCGATTCCACGTTACAAAGCCAACAAACCGATAATTTCAATTTCTAAAACTTTTCAATGATCCTCTATTCCCAAATGGTACAGCTTATTGATCTCCAAAACGCGAATTGCGCATGCGCACGCACCTTACTTTTTAAATTAATTATCATTAATGCAAGTGAATGAGGCTTAATTACATTTTTAAAACACACTCTTTTAATTAAGTTACGTCGCCACGAATCGATTTATGGATGAAATGAATTTAAATTTTAAAGGATTTATGATTAACCTGTCATACAGGATTATGTAACAGCAATGGGTCCAAAAATGATTTATTTTCAAATTTGTGATAGGAATTTTCACCCGAGAATTAGATTAAAAAATCGTTTGGAGCGACGATAAGGTTCCATTTATACTTACTTGATTTGAAATACACTAAAACAATGAGAAAGGATAATCCGATAACGTATTGTAAATGTCCCATTATTGGTTCGTCGGAAAATGGGTGTGAAAACTATAATTAAATTTTTAATAAAATCAAATTTGATGATCACGAAATGTTCGGTGTGAGTTCAATATGAAGACTGAATGCAGCTTCAAATAGGGCCTGCGCGAAACCTTGATCCTAACGGAAAGATTCATAAAGTGCGATCTACGTTTGAGGAAAGTGTTATCCAGTAATGGCCTAGTTTCTGACTTTATTATTAAAAAAATAATAACGGTAATGTGTTCCGAGAGTGCCACTTAGAAATCAATCACATGCATTATTAATCGTAATGATAGTCTCCTCTACTGTGATTTTTCTCATTGATGGACTTAAATATTGAAAAAGTACTTTAATAACTTTGAAAGTTGTTTCTTTCTGTTTTGAAACCGTTTCCAAAAAAATTTAAACACGGTTTTGCGTCATAACTAATTACGTTTGCGCGCGAAATTAGTAAAGTCACGTAGGCACAGCATAATCAACGCCCAAATAACCATATTAAAATCTGCAATGGCTTTAGAGTTAATGAGATGGAAGAGAAGCTCGTAAAAGTCGCGTCTACCCTGTGCGTTTAATTTACTAACCTAATTAGTATTACGAAACCGTTTGACACAATTGGATAATTCGCTATATCCGTCCGAATTTGTTGCAATTGATGAAATAACACATTGGACAACACTGTCCTTTTTTCCGCTTCGCGAAAGAGTGGAAGCGGGGAAATGACGCTAATTTGAATAAACGAGAGCACGAAAAAATTGAATTGCCAAAACAAAACTTTTAGTTTCGTTACGTTGCTAAGTTTGCGATTTTTTATGGCAAAACAGTTTGAATGGGAGACATACGAGGATAGAAAAAGATTTAGACCACGAGTGAGATTGTGTCCTACATTTAAATTGATCGTTGTGCTGATGTAATTTTCAATTAAAATGTATCAAACATTGTTATTCAACGTAACGTAGGAATTAATACAATGTACAGTTGCATGTTTTCCGAAGCTGGAAGAGTATCGTTTTATAGTCAATTAAACAGCAGGAAGCGAAGATAATTATTTCTTCCGTGTTAAACAGCAAGTCTGATTAACCATTAGATGAGAATGGAATTTTTATAGCAGATTCATTTTATTGGTTCCGTTTTTACTTCCCGTAAACTTATTACAAACGTATTTACTAGCGTAAGCTAAGGAAGTATTGTAAAAGGTCCATTTTGGACGTGTCATGACTTCAAGACTACGAAGTAATAGGTGCCCGTTACCGTCTGTCTGTCTGCCATCTGCAGTCTGTGTAAATTTTTATTAGATAGATAATCTTCGAAACTATGTAGTATATGCGTACACTATACTCGTGGTTTATGAATCCGCCTTATAACTTTTCGAGCATTTTTTTCGTCTCTTTTTTGTCATAACTGTTTGTTCCCTATTTGATGCCTCCTTTTATCGCGTTTTTTTCGTCCACTTTTTTTGTCGCTTCTCTTGTAGGTTCTTTTTTAACTTTTTCGTAGGTTTTTTGTCTCCTTATTTGTCGTTTCCACTTATTACATTTTTTAAACCCTTTTTTATCACTTGTATTTTTGTCGTTTTTTGTCGCTCCTGTGACGTGATTGTTTGTTGCCCTATTTGCCGCCTGCTTTTGTCGCGTTTTTTAGTTTATCGCCTTTTTTTTCCTCCTATTTTTATTAAAATTTTTTCATTGCCTTTTTTTCGTTAATTTTTCAACTCTCTTTATATCACCTTTTTTTGTCGCGTTTCTTTGTTTTCTCTTTCTGCCGTTTTGTGGCCATCTTTTCTTTATTTTTACTTCCATCGGACGAATGGCCACTTTTATATTTTCTCGACGTTTTATGGCCCTTACACTACGAAAAAAGTAGCCTCCCGTTTCCGTCTGTCGAGTCACCCCATTTCTTGATGTAATAATGATAAAATAAGAATTATAATATTTACAACATTTTGTTCGATTGGGGTTTAATTAATAATTTTAGTCCTGCCTTGAGAAGACAAACTCAGTCAAATCAAACTATTTTCTAGGTGACATTCTTTCGAAGTATAAACATAAATAAACATTTGAGCTTTAGATAGCTATTACCTAGTGCTGAAGGACATTTATCCAGTTAGTTGAGTGCTATATATTTTACATTGTCCGTACCGCGCAGGGGCGAAAGTCGTAAAATCAAATTTTATAATTTTTTTAGAGAGGTGGATTTGTGAGATTATACGTCATGGATGAGGGAAGTTCTGTCGAAATAGCCTTCGACCAATTTTTTTGTCCTTATTTGTCTTCCTTTTTTTTCAATTTTTTGTCCCGCCGTTTTGTACATTTTTTTTGTGCTTAAAATTATTAATCCATTTTTTATCGTCTTCTTTATACTTTTTTTATCGCCTTTTTTTGTCACCTTTTTGTACCTTTTTTATCGATTTTTTCATCGCTTTCGTCGCAATTTTTTATTCCCTTGTTTTTCTTTTTTCTTATCCCATTTTTTAAATTCCCTTTATTACACCTTCCCCACCCCATCATTTTTTCGCTTATTTTGTTATACACATTTTTTCAATTTTTTTGATTTTTTTGTTCTTTGAAGTGATTTTATTGTTCCCTTATTTTGTCTTTTATTTTTGTGTTTTTTTTTTGTACACGTTATTTTGATTCCCCTTTTAATGCGTTTTTTTTTGTCTATTCTTTTTAATTGCAGATTTCGGGCCGCAGAAGTCATATCCGTTTTCATTTCTTCGATAACTCCAATGGTTATTCCAGAATCGTCCTTTGAAACACTCAAAAATATGCAAAATACCCCAATTTTCGACCAATTTTCAACAAAATTTTCGAAATTTCACTAAATACATTTTCTTGTAGATTTCGGGCTGCAGAAGTCATATCCGCTTTGATTTCTTCGTTAACTCCAATGGTTTTTCCAGAATCGTCCTTTGAAACATTAAAAAATATGCAAAATACCCCAATTTTCAACCAATTTTCAACAAAATTTTCGAAATTTCCCAAAATACATTTTCTTGTAGATTTCAGGCCGCAGAAGTCATATCCGCTTTCAAGAAAATGTCCTTTGAAACATTAAAAAATATGCAAAATACCCCACTTTTCGACCAATTTTCAACAAAATTTTCGAAATTTCACTAAATACATTTTCTTGCAGATTTCGGGCCGCAGAAGTCATATCCGCTTTCATTTCTTCGATAACTCCAATGGTTTTTCCAGAATCGTCCTTTGAAACACTCAAAAATATGCAAAATACCCCAATTTTCGACCAATTTTCAACAAAATTTTCGAAATTTCCCAAAATACATTTTCTTGTAGATTTCGGGCCGCAGAAGTCATATCCGCTTTCATTTCTTCGATAACTGCAATGGTTTTTTTAGAATCGTTCTTTGAAACATTCAAAAATATGCAAAATACCCCAATTTTCGACCAATTTTCAACAAAATTTTCGAAATTTCACTTAATACATTTTCTTGTAGATTTCAGGCCGCAGAAGTCATATCCGCTTTCATTTTTTCGATAACTCCAATGGTTCTTCCAGAATCGTCCTTTGAAACATTCAAATATAAGCAAAATTCCCCAATTTTCGACCAATTTTCAACAAAATTTTCGAAATTTCCCAAAATACTTTTTCTTGTAGATTTCGGGCCGCAGAAATCATATCCGCTTTCATTTCTTCGATAACTCAATTGGTTTTTCCAGAACCGTCCTTTGAAACATTCAAAAATATGCAAAATACCTCAAATTTCGACCATTTTTCAACAAAATTTTCGAACTTTCACTTAATACATTTTCTTGTAGATTTCGGGCCGCAGAAGTCATATCCGCTTTCATTTCTTCGATAACTCCAATGGTTCTTCCAGAATCGTTATTTGAAATATATAAAAATATGCAAAATTTGTCACCCTCTTTTTGTCGCGAATGGTTTTTTTAAGTCATTTTTTACGTTGTTTTTTCTCAGCTTTTTTTGATTTTTTCATCGCTTTTTTTGTCGCATTTTTTTATTCCTTTTTTTCAATTTTCTTATCCTATTTTTCACCCCTTTTTATTATACAAAACTCACTTGTCATACACCTTGTAAAACTTTTGTTATCTTTTTTGACTTTTTTGCCGCTTATTTATGACGAGTTTTTTCCCCTTATTTATGTACGTTTTTTTTTTTTGTTAACGTTATTTTTATCATATTTTTTTATTTTCTTCGCTAATAATTTTTAACTCCCTTTTTATCGTTTTTTTTGGCACCTTTTTGATCGGTTTCTTTTGCCGTTTTCTTTTGTCTCCTTATTTGTCGGATTTTTTTACCTCTTTTGTTCTATTTTAGTCCCGTCTTTTTTGTCTTATTTTTGAACCCCTATTTTTTGCCACATTTTTTTACCCGTTTTTGTGGCCTTGTTTTTTGCGCCTTTTATTATTAATCCCTTTTCTATCGCCTTCTTTATATTTTTTTGTCGTCTTTTTTTTGTCACCTCTATTTACCCTTTTTTTATCGATTTTTTCATCACTTCTTTTGTGGCAATTTTTTATTCCCATGTTTTTTCACCCCATCATTTTTTTCGTTTATTTTGTTATACACCTTTAATTTTTTCGATTTTTTGTTGGTTCTTTGAAGTGATTTTATTGTTCCCTTATTTGTCGTCTCTTTTCGACGTTTTCTTTTTGTTTTTTTTTTTTGTACACGTTATTTTTATTCCCGTTTTAATGCCTTTTTTTGTCTATTTTTTTTTCCTTTTTGTCGTGAATGTTTGTCCCATTATTTACCGTCTTGTTTTGTTGCGATTTTTCGTTCTTTTTTATCGCCTATTTGTGCCTTTTTTTGTCGTTTTTTGTTTCGTTGCTTTTCATAACCCTATTTTTACATCTTTCTTTCTTGTCACATTTTTAATAAATACCATTTTTTATTACTTTTTTTTCTCATTTTTTGTCCCCTATTTATAGTCCCTTTTTGATCACCTTCTTTGTGGCGTTTCTTTCTTTTCTCTTTTTTGTCATTTTTTTGTCCCCTTATTTGTCTTCCTTTTTTATTGAATTTTTGTTCCGTCTTTCTGTCCGCTTTTTCTCAGCTATTTTTATTAACCTCTTTTTATCGCCTTTTTTATGTTCCTTTCTCACATTTTTAACCCCTTTTTATTACCTCTCCACCTTTTTTTCTCTTGCTTCGTTATACACCTTTTTTTTTCTTTTTTTGACTCTTTGGCGCTTTTTTGACGAGTTTTTTCCCTTTATTTGTGTCGTTTTTTATGTCAATGTCATTTTTATTACCTTTTTTAATTGCTTTTTTGTCGCTTTTGTTTATCCTCTCTTTTTATCGGTTTTTTGGGACCTTTTTTTATCGTTTTCTTTCCTCGTTTTTTTTTGGTTACTTTTTTAAGGCGAGTTTTCTGTTGTTTTTTTTACCTCTTTTTTGTTGTGTTTTAGTCCCGTCTTTTTTGTCTTATTTTTGACTATTTTTTTTATCACAATTTTTTGCCACATTTTTTTACCGTTTTTTATAGTCTTGTTTTTGTCGCTTTTTTATCGCTTTTTATTTTCCGAACGTAGACTAAGGAAGTATTGTAATAGGATCCATCGCCACTTTCAAGTTTTCTCGACGTTTCATGGCCCCTACAATACGAAACAATAGATCGTCCGTTTCCGTATGCCTATTGTCTGTCTATATGTGTCTGCAAAACTACCGGACCGATTGTGTGGAATTTAATGAAGTCCCTTCATCATTTTGCGTAGTAAAGGTTACCTAAATTCACACTGTGACTCGTTTTATCTATTTTTTACATACAGAGATTACATAATAAATTAAATTTAGCAATAAATTTTCGATAAAACTTGATTTATTCGATTATACTTAAGAGGCGAGGGAAGTTCTGTCTAGCTAGCCTGACATCAATTTTTTTGTAAAAATAAAAAATAAATCCATCTATGACTGGTGCCTGACGACTGCGAATGACAAAATGGAGGATGTACTATCCAGTATACACTAGTTATCTACAAAAGTGAAATTATTTTAGGCTTGAATTAACCCGCATATAATTCGTTTCATGGAGACTATTACAAAATCATCATGCTTTATGAACTGTTTCAAAGCTCTATTGTGCTTTTATTATTGCCAGAGTAGCTTTATGTAGCTTTCAGGAGTGTGCTTGTCGTTTAGGTGCAAGATAAAACACCCTCTATAGAAAATTCCATACAAAAAAGAATTTACATTCAATCGTGGAAAATAATTAAAAAACATTTTAAGAATAGTTATTTTGGACATTTTGTTATAAAATCATGTCATTAAATTACAACGAAGCTTTTTTAGCTGAATTTTTTGAGTTATATAGGGAAAGTTGTCTATGGAAAATAAAGCCACCACAGTATCGCAATAAGTAGGCCAGGAAAAGAGATGCGACATACAGGGTGATTTTACAAAACCACCTTTATTGACATTGGAGACCTCAACCGCCAAAGGCAAGCGCCAAATTTAAATAGTTGATGCCAATAAAAACCTTGTTTCACTATAATTGTAATTCACATTTCTTCTAGTTAATTTTATTCCTATCGTAGTTACAAACAAACACTGCTGCCAACATAAATTGAGGAGTTCTCAACCGTCATTTAAACTATGACGCTTCTCGATGTTCTCTGATTTTAGTCCGAACGAACCAAACACGCAGTGCGAGCATATACGAATTCGTCCAGTCACGACGTGTCTCTGCGTCGAACAGAATGCGCCAAACATTTTCCATCAGCAGTCGGTAAATGAGGTCAGATCAAAGGCGCGCATTTGTTCGTTAGTGCGCACTCAGTACCGTCAATTCGGTGTATTCGTGCGTTTGGACCGTTTGCAGTAAAAATGAGTGAATTAACGGAGTGGGATAGAGATAAATGTTTAGAATTAATCGATCAGTATGAGAAATATCCCGTATTATGGAATCCTAAACATGGTTTATATTACAACAAAACCAAAAAAAATGATGCCTGGACAAGTATTGACGAAATAATGGGATGTTTTGAAGGAGAAGCAAAGAGGAAGATGGACAGCATACTGTCTAGTTTCAGAAGAGAAAAGGGCAAAGGGAAGAAATCTGTGGGGGCTGGCAAAGGTAGCGACTTTTCTTTTACAAATAGATCACTCAATGAAAATAAGAACTACTGGGATAGGTATACAGTAATTATTATTATTTTTTACAGGCAGACATAAAGTATATGTGTCTAAATGGTTTGCATTCTCACGTTTGGCTTTTCTATTGGACAGGGATGAACCAAGAATGACAGGCGATTCCATAGAGGTATGTATATCCATATGAACACAAACAGTGTTGGGGACAGATACTTTTAAAAGTATCTAGATACAGATACAAGAAAACAGACACTTTTTGAAGGTTTGGCGAATAAAATAACTGAAAACATGTTTATGTATTTTTTTATGTATTGTTTAATGAATTTTTTAAAATTAACAACATTTCGAACGTATTGTCACCTAAATTATTTCTTCTTGGTGTCAGAATTTGGTTTCCGCTACTAAACACCCGTTCCACAGGTGCAGAAGAAGGGATTGTGGTATTAAATTTCAAAAATAAACATTTTACTGTAGCATAGTTATTCAAGACTGAAAAATCTTTTATTTTTTCCTGCAAATAGGCCATCGCTTCGCTGTTTGATGTGTCGCAAATTGTGCAATATTTATTACGTACGCTTAAAAAGAATATTTTTTTTGTTTTTATTTCCATACTACAGTGTCCAAATTGTGTTTGGGTATATCTAATAATTATCTCCAGCATTAAAATTAATATTTCAAAAGAATAAAGGAAATCATTATTCTGTGCTGACGGTCTGTTGTCGGCAACCTGTCATAAATTATTATTCTTCAATATCGGCTTACGATGTTTTTATGACCATGTCCGGTAATCGTCTATCCCGGTGCAGCAGGTATAGTGAACCAAGAGTTATAAGGTTATATGGCCATCATAAAATCATCCCATTGTGTCGAAGTTAAGTTGTTTACAATAGAAAAGGTTTTAGGGTCGTAAATACCGTGTCCACTGCAGCTCGACCGGCTCTTGTGGTTTCGTTCAGGGGCGGCTTTCACTAAATATGAAAATCCACCACTCCACTATTTCTTTACTACCTGCAGCCGCTGAGGGTTCCGAAATAACCACTCGCTTTGAAAGCCGGCCCTGTTAAATATGAGCAAGAAATGTTTAGAAGATGATTTATTGCCAACCGGTAAGCTTAGTGCGAACCACACAAAGGGGGTATTTATTTGCGGTCAACTACTTTTATAATGGCCATATAACCTTATAGGTCTTGGTTCACTATATATACATTTTAGGAAGAATAGCTGGTTCCGTTTAAGGCAAAATAAGTACAATTTCTTAGAAAGATATTTAAACCCCTTATAGGATCAAAGGCTGCCTGGCAGGCCGGAATCACCAGAGTGCAACTTTAAATTTTCAGTTTTTGTTGAAACTCATTTTATTTTATTCTCGTTTCACGATTTCTGAGAATATATCACGATAAATTATTCTACCAAGGGTTGTAAAAATATTAATTTTATTGCTCAAGATTTACACTTAAACATAATCGGCACATTCTAGGGCAAAACGGACCTGCCAAGCCCACCTCGCGTTAGGTCCAACAATAAAAAAGTGAAGAAATGACACATGTGGCAACAGGAAAAGATGCTACATTTGTCTGAGAAATAAAGGTATAAAACAGTAACAGATATGCGATTTATGCGAGAGAAATGTATGTATTGAACATTCGATTAGTCGATTACAGAACTAATTTGTGCTAACTGAAAAAATTAATCATTATGTAACACGCAATTATTATTTTCTAAAAATAATAACATACTTTAAACAAATATTTTTACTATTAAAATTACTCTTATTTAATAACACAAATACAACCAGCGGGCCTACCGGACCCGGATTCCTCAGGTACACAGATAAAATGCATTGCCCCGATAAGCGTTAAACGGAGTGAATAGTGAATTGTGGTTTATGGTTTTTAAAATACCATCTTACCATGGCTTAGATTTATTACCCCTCAGGATTATATTTAAAGATGTATAAGTACTGAAGGCTACAATGTAGGAAATGATGGTATTTAAAATATGAAAATTTCCGTGACAGAACACTATTAGTGGACCTGTTACCTCTATTTTTGTTTATGTGACCAAAATCACCAACATGAAGTATCAAAAATTTCTACTAGTATAACTCAACTAATAACTACTGAAAAAAAAGTGAAATAAAAAATGTATCTGTATCTGCACCATTAATTTTGTATCTAGATACAGATATTTTGTGTTTAAATTCGATTTTATCTAGATACAGATACTAGATACCCAACAATGTATCTAGATACTTTATTTAGATACAAGTATCTAGATACTGCCCAACACTGAACACAAACATCTTCAATAATAATATTTAATTATACTACCTATATCCTATTATTCACGAAATACTGGACAAAATCATTACGAATTTCTTTCGCGGCGGTAGATGCTTGCGTGGTATATTTCTGATAGAAAGAAACGATGTTTCAGAATCATTTTCTTTTCTCCAACTACCAAGAATAACATTGCCTTCATCATCTTCTTCGACAAAAATTCCGTGTGGGGTATAAATATTTCTAGAACTGTGACTATTTCTGAGAAAAAAAAATTGTGGCTTTAGGCTTTTATAACATTGGCTTTCTGAGTACCATAAATACTTCAGATGAAATTCCGAAGGCATTCTCCACTATCCTTCTTGCGCGACTTAGCGATAATTGTAATTTTTTTAGGTACCCGATTGTGAAGACGAATCTACTGAGTCCGTATCTTCACCATTGGGTGACAATACAGACTTAACACAATTGTCTGAGACTAGTTCCGTCTTAACTGCCAGTTCCAGTACTACAATTAGAACTTCATCTCAGGGAAGAAAAAGAGGAAGGGTGATTGATCCCCAGGAAGTGCTTTTAAACACAATTGACGAAAAATCAAGCCAGTCAACAAACTATGAACGTGACAGATTTACTGTACTTGGAGAACATATCGGTATGAAATTAAGGACTCTCGCACCCTCGCAAAGAATTATCGCCGAGAAATTAATTAATGACGTTTTGTTTGAGGCCGAATTGAATAACTTAAACAGAAACTGGGGGTTGGTAGATGGAAATCCAATAATGACTGCACATGATATGTGCGAAACAAGCTCTAATAAATAACATATATACTTATTTTAGACTGTACTAATAACAATTACTATATAGTTTTTTTTTTATTCAGACACTTCTCGAATAAATGTTTTTGTGTGTATTGTTTTTACTTTCTTGCATTCAAATATTCCTTACTTAGGGCTGGAGTAATTGCATCACGCATAATTGTATCCTGCTTCTTTCGAAAATAGGTTCTCCAATCTTGTGGGTACGACCGTAGTTCGTCCAATAAATTAGTGTGCGAATATGTACTGTTCAATAGCCAGTTTTTACACCACCATCTCCGTTTCTTATAACGTGTCCTGTTATTTTCTGTTATACAAACGGCGAGAGCAGCTAAAAGTTCATTTCCGTCGGATATGTTTTCACCACGATGGAAAAATTTTTAACTGCAAAGTCGTAACGTGTCTGCTTTTCAACAGAATTGTACAGCAGTTGTATCCAATACAATCGTACAACGGCGTTGGAACGTGAGTGGCGGGCTTTTAACAGGGGGACAGTGGTGTCGAATACCATTCATTTTTTTTTTTGCTGGGATCAGCGAATTTCCCAAAAAGCTGAAAGGGAATTGAATAACAACTTCATACACTGCTAAAAACAAATTTGAAGAAATATTAAACAGAAACAAAGTATTTTTAACCAATGGATAATAGATACCTTCGAAAAAATATTACTCCGTGATCATAACCAAGCTATATTTTTGGAATCAACACGACGGGATCTATATCCTTGAATTTAATCAGAATTTTTAGATGACTTTTTCAAAAATGAAATCTCCCATTATGTATTCTTATTACCTCTTTTATGCAAATTTTGACCCATTCCTGGCGATTTTCGAAATTTAACTAAATACTACCATGTAGATTTTGGGTCGCAGAAGTCACTTCTGGCTTCATATCTTCGATAACTTAATTAAACCGATTTTCCAGAATCGTCCACTGAAATATCGCAATTTTCAAAAATTTCAAAAAACTCGAATTTCACACCGAATTTTCCGAAAATATTGCTCCGTTACCATAAACATGCTATATTTTTGGAATCAGCACTTTAGGATATGAAATTTTTCTTAGAAGAATAAGTCATCTGCCAAAATAAGTCTTATCTTGGCAAGTACTAGCCCCCCGCCCACCCTCCCTTATTTTCTTACGGAATATGTCATTTGCCAAAATCAGTCTCATCTTGACAAGTACTAGCCCCGCCCACCCACCCTTTATTCTGTTAGAAGAGTGGGTCATCTGCCAAAATCAGTTTTATCTTGACAAATACTAGCCCCGCTCACCCTCCCTTATTTTCTTAGAGAATATGTCATTTGCAAAAATCAGTCTCATACTTGCCAAGATAAGATTGATTTTGGCAGATGACCTACCCTCTAAGAAAATAAAAGGCGGGTGGGCCAGGCTAGTATTTGCCAAAAAAATAAGACTTATTTTGACAAATGACCTACTCTTCTAAGAAAAAGTACTTGCCTCGCCCACCCACCCTTTATTTTCTTAGAAAAGTAAGTCATCTGCCAAAATCAATCTTCTCTTGGCAAGTATGAGACTGATTTTTGCAAATGATATATGCTCTAAGAAAATAAGGGTGGGTGGGCGGGGCTAGTACTTGTCAAGGTAAGACTGATTTTCGCAGATGATTCACTATTCTAAGAAAACAAAGGGTGGGTGGGCGGGGCTAGTACTTGTCAAGATGAGACAGATTTTGGCAAATGACATCCTCTAAGAAAATAAGGAAAGGTGGGCAGGGGGCTAGTACTTGCCAAGATAAGACTTGATTTTGGCAGATGACTTATTCTTCTAAGAAAATAAAGGCTGGGTGGGTGGGGCTAGTCCATGGTAAAAATAAAAAAATGACAAATTGAAAAATTGGATAAATAAGAAATCGGATTTTTCAAGTTTTAACTTTACAATTTTGGAATTTTAAAATTTTTCCTTTTCACGATTTGGCATTTTTCGATTTTTTAACTAAAAGAACAAATTTATTCGAACTGAAATTTCGAAAAATCGAAAAATCCAAAAATTGAAAAACAGGTTTGAAACTTTGTTATAAAATGCAGTGTGATGGGTACCATTTACGTATGAGTACATCAAATCAATAAAGGTTATCAACTACAATTATTGCAAACATATCAGCCATAATTACGTTTACTACGGTAATTTGTATTTGGAACTTAGATTTTAATCATTTGTGCGGAAGAACGTACTCTAAATATTTTAACATTTTTTTAAATTTCGGATTTTTAAGAAACTGTATAATTTCAAAAATAATTTAAATGCGATAATTTGCAACTTCAGTTCACTAGTGGCGTAAATAAACACCTTTGTTTTTGTTACAAACAAAAAAACAATGCATCAGTACTGTTTGATCATAAAAAAAGATAAAAACATAGCTTCAGTATACATGTGGCTTTACAGTATAACCTCGATAATCCGAATTAAATTGTTGAAAATGGGTCGAAATTTGCTAGTACTTGCCAAATAACCTACCCTCTAAGAAAATAAAAGGTGGGTGGGCCAGGCTAGTATTTGCCAAAAGAAGACTCATTTTGACAAATGATCTACTGTTCTAACAAAAGGTACTAGCCCCGCCCACCCACCCTTTATTTTCTTGGAAGAGTAGGTCATCTTCCAAAATCAGTCTTATCTTGGCAAGTATGAGACTGATTTTTGCAAATGACAAATTCTCTAAGAAAATAAGGGTGGGTGGGCGGGGCTAGCACTTGTCAGGATAAGACTGATTTTGACAGAAAACCCACACTTCTAAGAAAATAAAGGGTGGGTGGGTGGGGTTAGTACTTGCTAAAAATGGAAAAAAAAATCAAAAAATGACAAATTGAAAAATCGGATAAATTAGAAAATTGTACAACTGTCCTATAATCGGAAAATCAAAAACTGAAACATCGAAAAATTGAAAAAAAAACAAATCTTATAAAATCGAAGTCGAAATTCCAGTTTTCATTTTCTTTAGTTTTTAGATTTTTCAACTTTTGACTATTTCATTTGATAATTTGTTTGATAATTTTGCAGTTTTTAATTCCAATCTTTTGATTTTTTAAATTTTAGCTTTACAATTTTGGAATTTTTTGATTTTTAATTTTTCAAGTTCTTAAGTTAAAATTTTCCCTCTTCACGATTTGGCATTTTTCGATTTTTCAACTAAAAGAACAAATTTATTCCAACCGAAATTTTGAAAAATCGAAAAATTCAAAATTAGAAACAAAATTTTCAGATGTTTTAAAGTTACGGTAAACATGGCAATCGCTGATCAAAATTACTTTTTACGCCCTTCCAAAAACTCTGTGACAAAAAATCAAAAATCGAAAATTTAAAAAAATGAACATTATTTTCTCGATATTTTTAAAAATCAAATAGCTAAGAAATCGAAAAACTGCCAAAATTGTAAAATTAAAAAATCGAAAGTTTTTTTCAGTTGCCCAGAAAAATCAAAAATCGAAAAACAGATCAAAAAACTGAAAATTTAAACAGTGAGAAATTGAAAAATTCGAAAGTTGAAAAATCGAAAAAACTGGAAAATTTAGTAGTACTCGCTACGATAAGACTGATTTTGGCAAGTGATCTACTCTCTAAGAAAAGGACGGGTGGGTGGGGCTAGCACTTGCCAAATAACCTACCCTCTTAGAAAATAAAAGGCGGGGGCTGGACTAGTATTTGCCAAAATAAGACTCATTTTGACAAATAAACTATTCTTCTAACAAAAGGTACTAGCCCCGCCCACCCACCCTTTATTTTCTTAACTATTCTTCTAACAAAAGGTACTAGCCCCGCCCACCCACCCTTTATTTTCTTAGAAGAGTGACCTAGTCTTCTAAGAAAATAGGTTATCTGCCAAAATCAGTCTTATCTTGGCAAGTGTGAGACTGATTTTTGCAAATAACATATTCTCTAAGAAAATAAGGGTGGGTGGCGGGGCTAGCACTTGTCAAGATAAGACTGATTTTGGCATAAAACCCACACTTCTAAGAAAATAAAGGGTGGGTGAGCGGGGCTAGTACTTGTCAAGATGAGACTGATTTTGGCAAAGGACATATTCTCTAAGAAAATAAGTGGGGGGGCAGTACTTGCCAAGATAAAATGATTTTGGCAGATGACAAATAAAGGCTGGGTGGGTGGGGTTAGTACTTGCTAAAAAGAGAAAAAATTAAAATCAAAAAATGACAAATTGAAAAATCGGATAAATTAGAAAATTGTACAACTGTCCTATAATCGGGAAATCAAAAACTGAAACATCGAAAAATTGAAAAAAAAAACAAATCTTATAAAATCGAATTCGAAATTCCAGTTTTCATTTTCTTTAGTTTTTAGATTTTTCAACTTTTGAATATTTCATTTGATAATATAATTTGTTTGATAATTTTGCAGTTTTTAATTCCAGTCTTTTGATTTTTCAACAATTTTGGAATTTTTTGATTTTTAATTTTTCAAGTTCTCAAGTTAAAATTTTTCCTTTTCACGATTTGGCATTTTTCGATTTTTTAACTAAAAGAACAAATTTATTCCAACCGAAATTTTGAAAAATCGAAAAATCCAAAAATTTTCAGATGTTTTAAAGTTACGGTAAACATGGCAATCGCTGGTCAAAATACTTTTTACGCCCTTTCAAAAACTCCGGGAAAAAATCAAAAATCGAAAATTAAAAAAAATAAACATTATTTTCTCGATATTTTTAAAAATCAAATAACTAAGAAATCGGAAAACTGTCAAAATTGTAAAATTAAAAAATCGAAAGTTTTTTTCAGTTGCCCAGAGAAATCAAAAATCGAAAGACAGATCAAAAAACTGAGTAGTATTTGTTAAAATAAGACTGATTTTGGCAGATGACCCACTCTTCTAAGAAACTTAGTACCTTTTCTTAGAAAAGTAGGTCATTTGCTAAAATGAATCTTATTTTGGCAACTAGCCTGGTCTTTTATTTTCTTAAGTGGTAGGTTATTTGGCAAGTACTAGCAAATTTCGATCCATTTTCGACGATTTTCTAAATTTAACTAAATACTTTTTCTTGTAAATTTCGGGGCACAGAAATCACTTCCGGCCTCATTTCTTCGAT